CTGGGATTACAGGCTTGAGCCACCATGCCTGGCGTATCCATCCTTTTTATTGCAGCCATCCCAGTTTTGATTTGCATTTCCCTGATGGCTAATGATGTTGAGCATCTTTTCATGTGCTTGCTAGGATAGTGTATTCTCCTCTCTCTCTCTCTCTCTCTCTCTCTCTCTCTCTCTCTCTCTCTCTCAAAAAAAAAATTTCTTTTTCTGTGACAGGGTCTTGCTCTGTCACCCAGGCTGGAGTGCAGTGGTGCAATCATGGCTCACTGCACTCTCAATCTCCCAGGCTCAAGCGATCTGCCCGCCTCAGCTCCCCAAGTAGCTAAGACCACAGGTACATGCCACCACATCAAGCTAATTTTTAAACTTTATGTAGAGACAGTGTCTCTCTATATTGCCCAGGCTGGTCTCAAACTCCTGGACTCAAGCTATCCTCCCCTACTCAGCCTCCCAAAATGCTGCCATTACAGGTGTAAGTCACCATGCCAGCCTTAAAATATTGTTAATATTTTTTTATAAGATGGAGATTACACTATGTTGCCCAGAGTTATCTTGAATTCCTTGGCTCAAGCAGTCCTCCTGCCTAAGACTCCTGAATATCTGGGACTACAGGTGCATGCTGCCACACCCAGCTTGAGTAGTGTATTCTTTCTTCTTCTTCTTCTTCTTCTTCTTCTTCTTCTTTTGAGATAGGGTCTTGCTCTGTCACCCAGACTGGAATTCAGTGGTATTATCACAGCTCACTGCAGCCTTGACCTCCTGGACTCAAGCAGTCCTCCTATCTAAGCCCCTTGAGTAGCTGGGACTATAGATGTACACCACCAAGTCTAGCTAATTTTTAAATTTTTTGTAGAAATTAGATCTCACTATGTTGCCCAGGCTGGTCTCAAACTCCTGGGCTCAAGCAGTCCTCCTACCTCAGCCACCCAAAGTGCTAGGATTACAGGTATGAGCCACTACACCTAGCAGTAGCGTATTCTTTATAACAGAATCCCAATGAATAGAAAGCTGTGAAGTTTGCTTTGCTCCTTACTTTAGCCTTAAAAATTGTAATCATGGTTTAAGTGATAACAGTGCTATAAGGTTTTTATGTTTTTTCCAAACGCTCTGATGTATTTTGTTCCAGTCTAGGAAAGCCATTCTTGTGAGAGCAGTATGTACAATGCATTATATGATGATGTAGTAGTCAAGCCTCTTGTTTATGGAAAGCAGGTGTCAGCCTAGGCAACAAAAAGTGAGATCCCATCTCTAAAAAACTTTTAAAAATTAGCTGGGTGTGGTGGCACATTCCTGTAGTCCCAACTACTTGGGAGTCTGGGGCGGGAGGATCTATCACTTGAGCCCAGGAAGTCGAGGCTGCAGTGAGTCACGATCACACCACTGTACTCCAGCCTGAGTGACAGAATGGGACCCTGTCTCAAAAAAATAGAAGATATTACTTACCAACTTTGGCTAACTTAAGGAGAAAGGAAGTATTGGATAGGTGATAAAATCTTAGGATGACTTAAGAAAACTAGGCTTAGAAAAGGCCAGGAACAAAAGGAGGCTTGCCACACAGCCAAAAACCATATCACAGAATCCATTTAGCAGGGACACAGTTTGCATTGCTAGCAGTGCTGTCCCTGGACATTGCCACTTTATTTGCCCCAGGAGCTAAATACTGCTATTGATCCCACTATGAAGATTTACCACTTTCTCACTTCTCTGCAGCATCAGCTTCAGATCAAAATCTCAAGTAGATGTATCTCATAAAGGATATCTGATTTTATGCCTTCATCCTGGCTTCCAGTAAAGCTGATCTGTCTAGTGGTAGACAAGACTCGAAAGTGGAAATTTCCTCAAAGCAAAGGGTTTCACATGCTGATCATCCAAAAACGAAAACAATTTTTTTCTTTTTTTTTTTTTTTTTTTTGAGGAGTTTCACTCTTGTTTCCCATGCTGGAGTGCAATAGCTCTGTTTAGGCTCACCACAACCTCCACCTCCCGGGTTAAAGTGATTTTCCTGCCTTAGCCTCCCGAGTAGTTGGGATTACAGGCACCTGCCACCATGCCTGGCTAATTTTGTATTTTTAGTAGATGTGGGGTTTATCCATGTTGGTCAGGCTAGTCTTGAACTCCCTACCTCAGGTGACCCACCCGCCTCGGCCTCCCAAAGTGCTGGGATTACAGCCATGAGCCACCACAACCCAGCCAAAAAACAGAAATTTTTAAGTCTTCTATAAGGATATAATTTTTTGTGAGCCAAAAAATATTTAGTAATTTGACAAATTTTTCACTGCTATTGGTAAGAATCTTTTAATGAGATTCTTAAGAGTGTCAGATTTTAATCAGCATATCCAGAGTTTGAATGCTATATTAGGACGTTTTACATTACTATGAAGGAATACTTGAGGCTGGGTGACTTATTTTTTTAAAAAAAGAGGTTTAATTGGCCCAGGGTTCTGCAGGCCATATAGGAAGCATGGGGCTGGCATCTGCTCTTGGTGAGGGCCTCAGCAAGTTTATAGTCATGGTGGAAGGTGAAGCGGTAGGAAGTACATTATATGAGAACAGGAGCAGTTGAGAGTGGGAAGTGCCACACTCTTTTAAAGGACCAGATCTCATGTGAGTAAGAACTAAATTCATTACCATGAGGACAGCACCAAGCCATTCATGAGGGATCTGCTCCCATGACCCAAACACCTCCCACTAGGCCCACCTCCAGCATTGGAAGTCACATTTCTTTTTTATTTTTTTGAGACAGAATCTTACTGCATTGCCCAGGCTGGAGTGCAGTGGCATGATTATGACTCACTGCAATTTCAATCTCCCAGGCTCAAGTGATCCTCCTGCCTCAGCTTCCTGAGTAGCTGGGCCCACAAGCATACACAACCATGCTTGATTAACTTAAAAAAATTTTTTTAGGCTGTCTCATGCTGTTGCCCAGGCTTCAGTGCAGTGGTGCAATCTCAGCTCACTACAACCTCTGCCTCCCAGGTTCAGGCAATTCTCATGCCTCAGCCTCTCGAGTAGCTGGAATACAGGCATGCGCTACCACACCTGGCTAATTTTTGTATTTTTAGTAGAGACGGGGTTTCACCATGTTGGTGTTGGTCAGGCTGGTCTCGTGATCCTGACCTCGTGATCCACCTGCCTCAGCCTCCCAAAGTGCTAGGATTATAGGCATGAGCTACTGCACCCAGCCAACTTTTAAATTTTTTGTAGAGACGAGTTCTGACTATGTTACCCAGGCTGTTCTCAAACTGGTGGGCTCAGGTGATCTTCCACCCTCACCCTCCCAAAGTGTTGGGATTACAGGCATGAGCTACCATGTCTAGCCAAGGAAATTACATTGCAACGTGAGGTTTGGAGGGGACAAAAAATCCAAACCGTATTAAACAGCTTTGGATGATTTGCTGTTAATTGTCTTCTGTTGCCTTAAAAAAGGAAAAAATTACAAGTATTGGCCGGGCATGGTGGCTCACACCTGTAATCACAGCACTTTGGGAAGCCAAGGCAGGTGGATCACCTGAGGTCGGGAGTTCAAGATCAGCCTGGGCAACATGGCAAAACCCCATCTCTACTTAAAGTACAAAAATAGCCAGGCATGGTGGTGCGCACCTGTAGTCCAGCTGTCAGGAGGCTGAGGCAGGAAAATTGCTGGATTGGGAGGCAGAGGTTGCAGTGAGCCGAGATCATACCACTGCACTCCATCCAGGGCAACAGAGTGCGACTCCACTTCAAAATATATGTGTATGTGTATATATGTACTGTATGATTCTGTATATATTGGTAGATCTTTAATTAAGTGAGCTTTGACATGACAAGTTTTTCGTCTAAGACCACATTAACATAGGGACATTAAAAATGCACCCAGAATTGGGCCGGGCATGGTAGCTTGCTTGAACCCAGGAAGCTGAAGTTGCAATGAACCAAGATGGTGCCACTGCATTCCCGCTTGGGCAGCAGAGCTATTAAGTTTTTTTCTGATTATGTGCTACCTTCTTTACTTTTGGTGGTGGCAACACACACATTGGAACTCAAACTCTTGAATTTTACTCCTAACCTGTAACAATCTGGTGCTTTGTAATCAAATTCTCATTTGGAAAATGGGATTGTCTTTCCATTTGGGAGACTTCTGTTTTTCCTCAAACTAATTTTATAACCTATTAATCTGTTAACTAACATTAACTTTGTAAATTTTATGCAGAATATTGTCTAGGTGATGTAGAGAATAAAGGAATTAGATAGGTGCTTTCACTTCCTCCATAGAAGTTACGCTTTATGTGATGACCACTAATTAATAACCCATACTCCCCTGGTGATCCTGGGAACCAAAGTAATTTCATAGTGAGGATTTTTGTTTGTTTGTTTTAATTAAATTTAGGCTTGAGGGATGGTATTTGATCATTGTTCACGTGAGACACTGTCTTGCTTTGTCACCCAGGCTAGAGTGCATGATCGACACTCACTGCAGCCTTGACCTTCTGGGCACAAGCAATTCTCCTACCTCAGCCTCCCAAGTACCTGGAGCTACAGGTGCATGCCACCATGCCCAGTTAATTTTTTAAATTTCTGTAGAGATGAGGTCTTACTATGTTGCCTGGGAGGTCTGGCTTTTTAATAAAAATCTTGGCCGGGCGTGGTGGCTCAAGCCTGTAATCCCAGCACTTTGGGAGGCCGAGGCGGGTGGATCACGAGGTCAAGAGATCGAGACCATCCTGGTCAACATGGTGAAACCCCGTCTCTACTAAAAATACTAAAAATTAGCTGGGCATGGTGGCGCGTGCCTGTAATCCCAGCTCCTCAGGAGGCTGAGGCAGGAGAATTGCCTGAACCCAGGAGGCGGAGGTTGTGGTGAGCCGAGATCGCGCCATTGCACTCCAGCCTGGGTAACAAGAGCGAAACTCCATCTCAAAAAAAATAAATAAAAATAAAAATCTTAGTCGTGAATAGAATGTTTCCTTTTCAATGCATTATATAAATGAATTTTAAAGGTGCCCCTTTTCTTTTTTTTTTTTTAGTTTAATACAGTTTTTTAGTAAAATGAAGAAATGGATGGACATGTCAAACCTACCACAAGAATTTCGTGAACGTATAGAAAGGCTAGAGAGAAATTTTGAGGTGTCTACTGTAATTTTCAAAAAATTTGAGCCAATTTTTTTAGACATATTTCAAAATCCATATGAAGAACCACCAAAGTTACGAAGCAGGAAGCAGAGGTGAGCCCTTAATCCGTATATAATAAAGACTATGACACAAACTAAGAGAATTTACTTTTTTGAAAGTCTGCTTTTTATGAAAAGTATTCCTGCAAAGACCTTAATTATTTTCTTTTTAAATTCATGTACAATTATCTATATATGGAAATTCAGGGTAATACTGTTACTTATTTTTCTATGTTCTGATTTTTTTTTTTTTTTTTTTTTTGGAGGCAGAGTCTCAGTCTGCTGCCAAGGCTGGAGTATGGTGGCACGATTTCAGCTCACTGTAACCTCCGTCTCCTGGATTCAAGCAATTCTGCTGCCCCAGCCTCTGGAGTAGCTGGGATTACAGGCGCATACCACCATACCCAGCTAATTTTTTTTATGTTTATTTTTTGAGACAGAGTTTCGCTCTTGTTGCCCAGGCTGGATGGAGTGCAGTGGCGCAATCTCAGCTCACCACAACCTCTGCCTCCCTGGTTCAGGCGATTCTCCTGCCTCAGCCTCCCGAGTAGCTGGGATTACAGGCATGCACCACCACGCCCAGCTAATTTTGTATTTTTAGTAGAGATTGGGTTTCTCCACGTTGGTCAGACTGATCTTGAACTCCCGACCTCAGGTGGTCTGCCTGCCTCAGCCTCTGAAAGTGCTGGGATTACAGGTGTGAGCCACCACACCCGGTATAATTTTTTGTATTTTTAGTAGAGACAAGGTTTCACCATGTTGGCCAAAGCTGGTCTTGAACTCCTGACCTCAGGTGATTCACCTGTCTCGGCCTCCCAAAGTGCTGGGATTACAGGTGTAAGCCACTGTACCCGGTCCTGTGTTCTGATTATTTTATGCAGATTGGAAAGGCTTGCTTACTTAATCTATCACTTATTCCATTTCATAAGTGATAGATTACTTTCCTTCATGAATGGAATTTCATGTATAATTTGACCTATTTGATATTTATATTTACTATTTCAATTTATATGATATTTAACAAGCTAGTCAGACACAAAGTAATTTTTTTCCCTTTTTAGGAGGATTCCTTGCAGTGTTAAGGATCTGTTTAATTTCTGTTGGACACTCTTTGTTTATACTAAGGGTAAGATGGCACTTTCAGTGGTCTTACATTTCTGCTGTGGGAACTTGGTGCTATTTGACATGAGAAGTTTCTGTTTTTGTGTCTTTTTTTTTTCCTTATAAAGGTAATTTTCGGATGATCGGGGATGACTTAGTAAACTCTTATCATCTACTTCTGTGCTGCTTGGATCTGATTTTTGCCAATGCCATTATGTGCCCAAATAGACAAGACTTGCTAAATCCATCATTTAAAGGTAAGACCTTTCATTTATTTTTGAAAAATGAGTATCAGTTTTTAGAAAAAGATTTTTAAAAGTTGACCATATTTTTTTTCCCTCTGTTCCTTTTCCTACACTGTCAAACTAGGTTTACCATCTGACTTTCATACTGCTGACTTTAGGGCTTCTGAGGAGCCACCCTGCATCATTGCTGTACTATGTGAACTGCATGATGGACTTCTAGTAGAAGCAAAAGGAATAAAGGAACACTACTTTAAGCCATATATTTCAAAACTCTTTGACAGGAAGGTACTGTACTTATAATTAAATGACTGAGATGCTTATAGGTCAGCAGTAATGTCTAAAGAAAAAAATGTTTTAAGCAAGTTCTCAACAATATAGAACTCAGGGTCAGGATTCCCAGGCTTTAACCTCTGCTGTAATTCAGAATTTCCTTGTGAGCTTGTGTGATGTGAGAAACTGAGCTGTTGAAAAATGTGACCAACTATGTACTGTTAGGTAAACATACTGTCAGAGGCAACTGTAGGAGGTGCTGATAAAGAATCTTAAAGAACAGACTAGGCCAGGTGTGGTGCACAGGCCTGTAATCCCAACACTTTGAGAAGCCAAGGCAGGCGGATCACCTGAGGTCGGGAGTTCAAAACCAGCCTGACCAACATGGAGAAACCCTGTCTCTACTACAAAAAAAAAAAAAAAAAAAAAAAAAAACAGAACAGAACATCACAGTAAAGCTGACAAAGAATTAGGAAAGACAGGAAGTCAGAATAAGCTGACTAGTTTACTGCCATAATTTCAATAACTGCTGACTGTTCACTAAAAGTAGGATAATGTGTAACAACTACAGTTTTAATTCCATATAAATCAAGCAGAAAATCCATTATAGTTTTGTAGCCACTTGTAGGCTATCTGTGTGCATTCTGGATATTTTCTCCTCAGTCATTAACTTAACTATTTCTACATTTATGAATTGGCTTGTTCCTTTGGGTCTCAATTTCCTTATTTCCCCAGCATCAAGCCATTAAATGTAGTTAGGCCTCAAACCAAAAAAAAAAAAAAAAAAAAAGTTATTTGCATGCTAAATACATTTTCGTAGTCTGAAAGAAATATTTAATAATTCTGTTTTGTGTGTGTATTATAACTAACAATATGGAAATTTAATTATGTGTGTATTAATCTGTAAATTTAGATAAATGTTTTTGTGTATGTATTAATATGCTTAATGATATGGTATCCCAAAATAATTTTTTCTTCACAGATACTAAAAGGAGAATGCCTCCTGGACCTTTCAAGTTTTACTGATAATAGGTAAATATGTAGTACTAATGGTGCCTGGCAAATCACAAGTATTTGTTGATTTGTTAAAATTTGTTAAGCATAACATTACATCAAAGTAAAACATCCAAATTCAAATTCTCTCTGCTTTAGTGGCATTGAATGGGTATTATCACCTAGATTTGTTGGCTTTAAATACATTTATTTTAAGAAATCAAAGCTGGGCACGGTGGCTCACACCTGTAATTCCAGCACTTTGGAGGGCCAAGGCAGGCAGATTGCTTGAGCTCAGAAGTTGGAGGCCAGCCTGGACAACATGGTAAAACCCTGTCTCTCCATAAAATACAAAAATCAGAAATCAGCTGGACGTAGTAGGGTGAGCCTATAGTCCCAACTACTTGGGAGTCTGAGGTAGGATGGATTGTTTGAATCCAGGAGGTCGAGGTTGCAGTGAGCTGTGATTGCACCACTGCACTTCAGCCTAGGTGACAGAGTGAGACCCTGTTTCAAAAAAAAAAAAAGAAGAAGAAGAAAGAAAGGCCAGGCCTGGTGGCTTACGCCTATAATCCCAACACTTTGAGAGGCCGAGGCAGGCAGATCACTTCAGGTCAGGTGTTTGAGACCAGCCTGGCCAACATGGTGAAACCCCGTCTCTACTAAAAATACGAAAATTAGCTGAAAGTTTGAGACCAGCCTGGGAAACCCCATCTCTACTAAAAATACAAAAATTAGCCAGATGTGGTGATGCATGCCTGTAGTCCCAGCTACTTGGGAGGCTGAGGCAGGAGAATTGCTTGAACCTAGAGGCAGAGGTTGCAATGAGCTGAGATCATGCCACTGCATTCCAGCCTGGGTGACAGAGTGAAACTCTTAAAAAAAAAAAAAAAAGAAAGAAAGAAAGAAAAAAACAGACAAAACAGCTACTCTCTTGAGAAACTCATAAATGAACCCAGTACTCTGTATTTGATGTTACATCATTAGTACATGTTGACAGTGCCTTTCTTTCTCTTTCTTTCTTTTTCTTTCTTTCTTTTCTTTCTTTTCTTCTTTCTTTTTTTTTTTTTTTTTTTTTTTTTTTTTTTTTTTTTTTTTGAGGTAGAGTCTTGCTCTCTTTCCAGGCTAGAGTGTAGTGGCGTGATCTTGGCTCACTGCAACTCCCACCTCCCATAATTCAAAGCAACTATTGTTCTGTTAGTGATCAGAACACATTGTCATTAATCAGATTCAACTAGTTTTCAGATTAAGTATATGTAGTCACTTTTTTACTCACTTTTCAAAGTAATTTATTGGCCGTATAAATGAATGTGAAGAATGTGCATAATCAGGTAGGACCCTCTGATATTGTTAGATGGGCAGAGTTAAAAATTAGGAAGTTGTCAAGTTTTCTAATCTGTAAACACTAAAGCCATCTTCAAGTCAAGATAAATCCATTGTATAACTTAGTATTACTATTATAGCTTAAAATAATTCTCTTTGCAGCAAAGCAGTGAATAAAGAGTATGAAGAGTATGTTCTAACTGTTGGTGATTTTGATGAGAGGATCTTTTTGGGAGCAGATGCAGAAGAGGAAATTGGAACACCTCGAAAGTTCACTGGTGACACCTCACTAGGGAAAATGACAGCACAGGCTAATGTGGAGTATAACCTTCAACAACACTTCGAAAAAGTAATATAACCTAGCCCGGCCTCAATCTTGAATGATCTTTTTCTCTGTGTGTGTGATTCTACTAACAGCAGAAGCATCTTTCAAGTTAAATCTTGATTTTCTTCTACTAATTCATATTTCCCATGAAAGCCTTAAAAGGTAATTTTTAAAACTGGCATTTAGTATTTTTATCTCATTTCTTACTATTCATGTTTTACATCCATTTTCCCAGCATGCCTCAGTTTATTAGTAGAGTATGTTTCTTTTCACATAAAGAGGAAGTTTTGCTTTCTTACCATTCTTTCTTTGCTTCGACTTAGTCTCTATTTCATTGCTTTAAAATTTAGTTTGCTTTTCTACCCATGACACAAACTATGTTTTTCTATAACTTCAGCTATGAAACTCAGGACTTGATTGTTAATGGCCAAGGCTTGATTCTGTATTTATGGGTAAAATGGGTTGGAGAAAGAGATCCAGTGGAAAATTCACTTATCTAAAACATAGAAAACCCCAAGTTTTAGTCCAAGCCTTGTCAGATGAAACAAGTTTTTTAATTTCTCTGTTCTTGTTTCCTCATATATAATATTAAAATATGTATACATTATCTTTCAAATCAGTGATGTGACGATTGAATGAAATTACAGGTAGAAAGTGTTTTAAAAATGTTATTTAAATATAAGGATGTTATTAGCATAGTATTGCTAAAACTTTCATGGATATTGTGAATAGAGAAGATGGTACATGTACTGAATTAAACACATAATGAAGAAGATGGTAACTTTTAAAAGCTCACAGATTTTTCTTTTCTGACAGAAAAGATCATTTGCACCTTCTACCCCACTGACAGGACGGAGATATTTACGAGAAAAAGAAGCACTCATTACTCCTGTTGCATCAGCCACCCAAAGTGTGAGCCGGTTACAGAGTATTGTGGCTGGTCTAAAAAATGCACCAAGTGAACAACTTCTAAATATTTTTGAGTATGTACAATACTTTTATTTTTCCACATGTCTTTTTAAAATTAGATTTCTTATTCTATTCTATTTTTAGTATATTCAGAATTCTCAAGATAGTGGATATTCAGCTGGCAGATTTTACTATATCATTTTTTTTTCTTTTTCTTTTTCTTTTTTGTTTTTGTTTTTGAGATGGAGTTTCACTCTTCTTGCCCAGGCTGGAGTGAATGGTGCGATGTGCAATCTCAGTTCGCTGCAACCTGCGCCTCCCAGGTTCAAGCAATTCTCCTGCCTCAGCCTCCCAAGTAGCTGGGATTACAGGCATGCATCATCATGCCCAGCTAATTTTTTTTTCTTTTTTGTATTTTTAGTAGAGACAGGGGTCTCCATGTTGGTCAGGCTTGTCTCAAACTTCTCAGCTCAAGTGATCCACCTGCCTCAGCCTTTTGAAGTGCTGGGATTACAGGTGTGAGCAGCCATGCCAAGCCAACCTTGTCTCTTAAAAAAAAAAATTATATATGATGTTATTTCATGGGAGTATAGACTTTAGGAGATAAGTGTACCTTAAAGATTATTTTGCTCTGATATTTCACTCTTGTAACTACCGCTGAGTTAGCATGTTTTTGTTTTGTTTTTTATTGACTTTATTTTTTAATTTATTTTTATTTTTGTTTGTTTCTAAAGATCACCTGTATAAGGTCATACATTAACTTTAAATGGAGTCATTCTAAACATCCATTAGATAGGGGACTAATTGTATATTGGTGGTACAACCATAAAATGGAATTATATACATTTTTTTTTTCTTTTTTAAGGAAGCATTACTCCTGGTAAAGCTGGTAGAATGAAGCCAGATCAGAGAACCTTCTTTCCTAACACCTAATAAAAAAAGAGAATAGTAAAAACCAGCAAAATATTTATCAGTGGCAACCAAATGAGGAGAGAGATATGATTTCATGATATAAATTTCCAAAGTAGAAATCAAAAGGAAAGTTGATGGTTCTGGTATGCCCATCTCTAAGCAGTGTTGGGGAAAGAGAGTATATTGATAGATCTTGAGAATGCTCATTAATACTTCATTTTTGGAGAGAAACGAATGAGGGAGTAGGCAGACCAATAAAAAGTCATACAACCTCCCCAGGTAAAAGTCCCTATGTACCACCAACGGGATCCCAGCAGAATATGAACAACTGCCAAGCCTGCTGTTTTCCAACATACTATGATGATTTGGGGAGATACCCTAATATAACTAGACATCCCTGACTAGGAATAGTGAACCCTGGAATGGGAATATTTAACTAAATCTCAGAAGAGAAAGCAAAGCTCTTGTCCTCCAAGGAAAGCTGAACATAGCTGAGCTCATACCTATTCCTCAAACCTTCAGGATACAAGAAAATAGACAGAACAGTTTCCAGCCTCAGAAATAGCTCAGAAGAAAAGCATACTGCCAGTAAGGTAGGAAGACTGTCATGGAGATCTACCCTCCATAGCATTTGAGTAAATAGATCTGAATTGAACTACTGATCAAGCATGAATAAGTTGAAAAGCAGTGACAAAGCAACTACACATATATGTCAATAAGAAAAGAAAGTATAGAATGCAAAAGAAAAATCTAGACACAAATAAATGGAAAGGCTGGGTGTTGCGGCTCATTCCTGTAATCACAGCACTTTGGGAGGCTGAGGCAGGAGATCAGTTGAAATCAGGAGCTCAAGACCAGCCTGACAAACATGGTAAGAACCTGTCTCTACAAAAAAAATGTAAAAATTAGTCATGGTGACATGTATCCCAGCTACTCAGGAGGCTGAGAGGGGAGAATCACTTGAAGCCAGCCATGATCACCATTGTACTCTAGCCTGGGCAACAAAGCGAGGCCCTATCTAAAAAAATAAAAATTAAAAAAAGGAAAGACATCTGTGTTTGTGGACTGGAAGACTTAAAATATCTATATTAGAGGCCAACTGCAGTGGCACATGCCTGTAATCCCAGCACTTTGGGAGGCCAGGATGGGTATATCGCTTGATCTCAGGAGTCTAAGACCAGCCTGGGCAACATAGCAAGACCTCATCTCTACAAACAAACAAAATAAATAAAACCTGGCCATTGTTTCTTTCTTTTTTTCTTTTTTCTTTTGAGACGGAGTTTTGCTCTTGTTGCCCAGGCTGGAGTGCAATGGCGCGATCTCAGCTCACTGCAACCTCGGTTTCCTGGGTTCAATTGATTACCCTGCCTCAGCCTCCCAAGTAGCTGGGATTACAGTACCCACCACCATGCTTAACTAGTTTTTTGTATTTTTAGTAAAGACAGAGTTTCACCATGTTGACGAGGTTGGTCTCCAGCTGAGATCGTGCCGCTGAACTCCAGCCTGGGTGACAGAGCGAAACTCTATCTCAAAAAAAAGAAAAGAAAAAAGGCATGTTAGTACTCTGGTGTGGGGTTTTTTTTTGTTGTTTTTTTGTTTGTTTGTTTGTTTGTTTTTGGTAATTAGATTCCTCTTGTATTTTGTAGGTCTTGTGTGCGTAATCCTATGGAAAATATTATGAAAATATTAAAAGGAATAGGAGAGACTTTCTGCCAACACTATACTCAATCAACAGATGAACAGCCAGGATCTCACATAGGTAAGAAAAGAAAACTAAAGTTGTCATAACATTGAAAGTAAGTAACCCACCCCCAAAAATTAGGAATTCTAGTTTTTTCCTGCCCTGCTGCTATTCTTATTTCTTTTTTTTTTTTTCTTTTAAGACAGAGTTTCACTCTTGTTGCCCAGGCTGGAGTGCAATGGCACAATCTCAACTCACTGCAACCTCCTCCTCCTGGGTTCAAGTGATTCTCTTGCCTCAGCCTCTCAAGTCTCTGGGATTACAGGTGCCTGCTACCATACCCGGCTACTTTTGGATTTTTAGTAGAGTCGGGGTTTCACCATGTTGGTCAGGCTGGTCTCGAACTCCTGACCTCAGGTGATCAGCCCATCTAAGCCTCCCAAAGCACTAGGATTACAGACATGAGCCACCACTCCTGATCTGCCCTGCTATTGCTATTCTTTTTTTTTTTTTTTTTTTTTTTTTGAGATGGGGTCTTGCTCTGTCGCCCAGACTGGAGTGTAGTGGTATGATTTGGGCTCACTGCAACCTCCACCTCCCAGGTTCGAGCAATTTTCCTGCCTCAGCCTCCCGAGTAGCTGGAACTACAGGCGCATGCCACCACACCTAGCTAATTTTTTGTATTTTTAGTAGTGATGGGGTTTCACCATGTTAGCCAGGATGGTCTCAATCTCCTGAGCTCGTGATCTGCCCACCTTGGCCTTCCAAAGCGCTGGGATTACAGGGGTGAGCCACCGCACCCGGACCCAGCCATGCCCTGCTATTCTTAATGTATCAGATTTAAGTGTATATATAATTTTTACTTTGCAGTCCTTAACAAGTAAAATTCATTAACACGTGTTTTGTCTGTATTTCTCCCATAGACTTTGCTGTAAACAGACTAAAGCTGGCAGAAATTTTGTATTATAAAATATTAGAGACTATAATGGTTCAGGAAACACGAAGACTTCATGGAATGGACATGTCAGTAAGTAAATCCACTCTCCAAGATACTGGCAAGGCCCAAAAGTCGTAGTGTGGAAGCAGTGTTTTGAGAGGTACTATAAGGCATTGTGGGGTTCAGCAGTCTATGGCAAACTTGAACAGGATGACATTTAGTTGACTTTAGCACATAAAGCTAATCACATCTAGGCGGAAATGTGAAATAACATGAAGTTCATCTTTAGTACACATCAATGTCCTTCTTTTGTCTTTTTGTTCTTCATTCCAAGCTACTGACAATGAGTCCCCCCTCCACATGCTAAAGCAACTGATAATTAAGACGTTTGTCCGTACCTTTAAAGGATTTGGGATTATAAAATGGTGGGGGGTTTTTTGTTGTTTGGTTTTTTTTTTTTTTTTTTTTTTTTTTTTTTTTTTGAGACGGAGTTTCCCTCTTGTTGCCCAGGCTGGAGTGCAATGGCGCGATCTCGGCTCACCGCAACCTCCGCCTCCTGGGTTCAGGCAATTCTCCTGCCTCAGCCTCCTGAGTAGCTGGGATTACAGGCACGCGCCACCATGCCCAGCTAATTTTTTTGTATTTTTAGTAGAGACGGGGTTTCATCATGTTGACCGGGATGATCTCGATCTCTTGACCTCGTGATCCACCCGCCTCGGCCTCCCAAAGTGCAGGGATTACAGGCTTGAGCCACCGCGCCCGGCCAGTTGTTTGGTTTTTTTAATTTGTTTTGTTTTGTTTTGAGGCAGAGTTTCACACTTGTTGCCCAGGCTAGAGTGCAATGGTGTGATCTCGGCTCACCACAGCCCCTGCATTCCAAGTTTAAGCGATTCTCCTGTTTCAGCCTCCTTAGCAGCTGGGATTACAGGCACGCGCCACCATGCCTGGCTAATTTTTGTATTTTTAGTAGAGATAGGGTTTTGCCATGTTGGCCAGGCTGGTTTCAAGCTCCCAACCTCAGGTGATCTATTCACTTCAGCCTCCCAAAGTGCTGGGATTACAAGTGTGAGCCACTGTGACAGATTGGTTTTTTTTTTTTAATTGTTTATTTTTCTTTAACTATTTGACCAAGTCAGACCACTGTCTCCAATAAGCCTTGTAAAAAAATTTTTCTACAAATTCAAACCTATCATGTTTGTTTCCTCCTTCATTCTTTTCCTCTGTAGTTACTCTTAGAGTCTTCTAACTTTCTATCCCAATAGAAACAACAGGTTGATGTGTTAAGGATGCTGCATAAGTATGGTAATAGAATTTCTCTTTGTTTTTACCTGGAAATTTTTTTCATATCTTTTCTGTGTTGGCTTCAGATTCTGTGTCTTTCTCTTTCATGGTTTACATTAACTTCTTGATGGTACATGCACTCCCATGGCTTCCTGAGAAAGAAGTAATTTTTTATTTTTTTGAGAATTGACTCTTGCTCTGTCACCCAGGCTGGAGTACAGTGGCACGATCTCAGCTCACTATCACCTCTCTCCTGGGTTCCAGCGATTCTCATGCCTCAGCCTCCCAAGTAGCTGGAGTTACAGGTGTCCCCCACCATGCCTGGCTAATTTTTGTATTTTTAGTAGAGATGGAGTTTCACAATGTTGGCCAGGCTGGTCTCAATATTCTGACCTCAAGTGATCTGCCCATCTCGACCTCCCAACGTGCTAGGATAACAGCCATGAGCCACTGAGCCTGGCCAAAAGAAGTAAATTTTAAACTTTTTATTTTGAAATAATAATAGATTCCCAGAAAGTTGCAAAAATTCTACAGAGAAGTTCCACATATCTTATATTCAGTTTCCCTAATGGTTGCAATTTTATATACTACAGTATCAAAACTGGGGAATTGACATTGAAACAATGTACATATATGTGTATAATTGTTTCATACACATAAATTATATAACCATCACAAAAATCAAGATACTAAACTGTTAAAGATCTCCCTCCTGTTACCCCTTTATAGTTAGTTACACTTACTCCTCTCAGCCTTTACTGTTTTCCAATTTTACACACTGTATGAATTCAGTTCTTTTCAATGTGTTAAAGTTATTTTGTACCCAAGAATATGGTTTATCTTGGTGAACATTCTGTGGCCACTTATAAAGAATGTATACGGTAAATCCTCATATTTAACCTTGTCAGTAGGTTCTTGGAAACTGACTTTAAGCAAAATGTCATAATGAAACCAATTTTACCATAAGCTAACTGATATAAACAAGAGTTTAAGTTCATATGGCATATGTCTGTTCACAAAAACATAATCAAACTTCTAAATAGAGACAAAACACTTAAAATGTTAAACATTGAAATAAGAGAAAGATTAATAAAAATAAGGAAGATTATTATTTATCCAGTTATTCCTGTTCAGAGTCATAAGTGGCTAGAGCCTACCTCAGCAGCTAAGGACGAAAGGCAAGACCCAACCCTAGACAGGACACCATTTCATCACACACCCATTTATACTGTCACAATTTAGATATTTCCAATTAAGCTAATGTACACAGCTTTGGAGTCTAAGAAGAAACAAGAGTTCCCAGAGAGAGCTCATGCAGACATGGGAGAATGTGCACATTTCATACAGTGGCCCCAGCAGGGCATCCATCATTTTTCATTGTTATAACAAAATGATGTTGAGCGAAATGTTATTCAAGGACCTGCTGTATTCTGCTATTGAAGAATGGAGCATTCTGTAAATGTCAATTTAATCTTGTTGGTTGATGTTGTTATTTTATATTCTTGATGATTTCCTGTCTAGTTGTTACAACCATTGTTGACAGAGGATGTTGAAGTGTCCATGTATAATTGTAGATTTGTCTATTTCTTTCAAGTCTATCAGCTTTTCTCCACAAATTTTGAAGCTCTGTTGTTTGATGCTTACACGTTTAGGATTGCTCTCTGTCTTCTTGATGAATTGACTCTTTAATCATTATGAAGTGTTCCTCTCTGGCCAGGCCCAGTGGCTCAAACTGTAATCCCAGCACTTTGGGAGATCAAGGCAGGTGGATCATCTAAGGTCAAGAGTTCAAGACCAGCCTGGCCAACATGGTGAAACACCATCTCTACTAAAAATACAGAAGGCCAGGTGTGGTGGTTCACATCTCTAATCCCAACACTTTGGGAGGCTGTGGCGGGTGGATCACCTGAGGTCAGGAGTTCAAGACAAGCCTGACCAACATGGCAAAACCCTGTCTCAACTAAAAATACAAAAATTAGCCAGGCGTGGTGGCACACGCTCATAGTCCTGGATACTCAGGAGACTGAGACAGGAGAATTGCTTGAACCTAGGAGGCGGAGGTTACAGTGAGTCAAGATCATGCCAGCGTACTCCAGCCTGGCAACAGAGTGAGACTGCATCTCAAAAAAATAAATAAAAATAAATAAATAAAACAAAAATTAACCAGGTGTGGTGGCAGGTACCTGTAATCCCAGCTACTCGGGAGGCTGAGGCAGGAGAAGCGCTTGAGCCGGGGAGGCAGAGGTTGCAGTAAGCCGAGATCACACCACTGGAAGACAAAGCAAGACTGCATCTCAAAATAAATAAATAAATAAATAAATAAATAAATAAATAAATAAATAAGGCCATGCACAGTGGCTCATGCCTGTAATCCTTGCACTTTGGGACGCCAAGGCGGGCAGATCATGAGGTCAGGAGTTCAAGACAAGCCTGACCAACATAGTGAAACTCCATCTCTACTGAAAATACAAAATTTAGCCAGGCATGGTGGTGCACGCCTGTAGTCCCAGCTACTTGGGAGGCTGAGGAAGGAGAATTGCTTAAACCCAGGAGGCAGAGGTGGGGTGAGCTGAGATCTCACCACTGCACTCCAGCATGGGCAACCAAGTGAGACTCCATCTCAAAAAATTAAAATAAAATAAAATAAATAAAATGTTCCTCTCTGTCTCTTGTAAATTTTTTTTGCTCTGAATCTACCTGATGTTTATGTATAGCCACTCCTACCTTCTTTTAATTAATGTTTCTGTGGTATATCTTTTTCCATCCTTTTTCAAGTGACTGTTGAATTTCTTATAGTCAATATGTAGTTGGGTAATGGTTTTTGGTTTTTTTTTTCCTAATCTGTGCTAATCTCTGTCATTTAATTAGTAAATTTAGATGACTTACATTTAGTAATCGTTATGTTAAAGTTTAAGTCTGCCATTTTTTTGTTTTCTGTTTGTTCTCACTCTTTTTTTTTTTTTGTCTTTTTCTTGCCTTCTTGTGGGTTACTCGAACATTTTTTAGAGCCTTGTAAAGTTTTTTTTGTATAGATGTTTTGTATAGCCATTTTACCAATTTAAGTATAGAAACCTTACCTCACCTAAAGTCCCTTTTTAAAGATTTTGCATAAGTCCTTTTATTTTAGAATCACATTTGGTTGATAGTTGTATGTGTACAGAATTCAAGATTGGTGGGAGAGGCCAGGTGCAGTGGCTCATACCTGTAATCCCAGCACTTTAGGAGACCTTGGCAGGTAGATCACCTTAGGTCAGGAATTCAGGACCAGCCTGACCAACATGGTGTAACCCCATCTCTACTAAAAATTATAAAATTAGGCATAGTGGCACATGCCTGTAATCCCAGCTACTTGGGAGAGGCTAAGGCAGGATCGTTTGAACCCAGGAGGCAGAGGTTGCGATTAGCCAACATCATTCCATTGCACTCCAGCCTGGGCAACAAAAGCGAAACTTTGTCTCAAAAAAAAAAAAAGCAAGATTGGTGGGAGGCTGAGTCAAGAGGATTGCTGGAGCCCAGGAGTTTGAGATTGTAATACACTGTGTACTGTATGTGTACTGTGTAGAATGATTATACTGTGAATAGCTACTGTACTCTAACCTAGGCAACATGGTAAGACCCTATCCCTAAAAACAAAAAATTAAGTTAAAAAAAGATTGACACTTACTTTCCTTTATGATTTTGAAGGCATTGTTGCATTATTTTCTGTTACAGATTCCAGTGTTACTAATGAGAAGTCCAGTGACATTCTCATTCCCATTTAGTACTATGTGACTTGTTTTTTGTTTCTGGAATATTTCAGTGTCTTTCTTTTATCACTGATGTTCTTACATGTATAAAAAATATGTCTTACTGTGTTTTTTTAATTCATGTGTTTGTCATTCCCACTGAGTTGCCTGTTTAGAAATTTATGTCCTGCAGTTCTTGGTCATTTTATTGTGTTACTTCTTAGATGATGTATTGCCCACTGATTTATCTTTCTGGAACTTTTATTTTTCAGATGATGGAACTTCTGTATTGATCTTCTGAATTCCTTCTCTTAGTTTTCATTTTCTTAATCTCTTTTATTCTGCTTTTTATTTTATTTTATTTTTTGAGACGGAGTCTTGCTCTTGTCACCCAGGCTGGAGTGCAATGGCATGATCTCAGCTCGTTGCAAACTCTGCCTCCTGGGTTCAAGCAACTCTCTGCCTCAGCCTCCCGAGTAGCTGGGATTACAGGTGCCTGCCACCACACCTGGCTAATTTTTTTTGTATTTTTTAATAGAGATGGGGTTTCACCATGTTGGCCAGGCTCCAGGCTGGTCTTGAACTCCTGACCTCAGATGATCTACCTGCCTCGGCCTCCCATTGTGCCAGCCTTATTCTACTTTTAAAGATATTTACTCAACTTTTCATCTAGTCCCAATGAACTTTTAATTTCAACTATATTTTCATTTCTCTTTCTTGTTCTCTAAAGTTATTAATTTAGATTTACTTGAAATTTTCTTATCTTGCCGGCTTCATCTCTGTTTCTCCTGAATTTTTCCTCATTTCTATCTCTCTCTCTTTTCTTTTCTTTTCTTTTCTTTCTTTCTTTCTTTTTTTTTAAGGTAGAGTTTTCTCTTGTTGCCCAGGCTGGAGTGCAATGGTACAATCTCGGCTCACTGCAACCTCTGCCTCCCAGGTTCAAGTGATTCTCCTGCCTCAGCCTCCCATGCCCGGCTCTAATTAAAAATATTTTTTAAAAAGAGAGAAAAAAGGCTGGGTGTGGTGGCTCACACCTATAATCCCAGGATTAAAAAAAAAAATATTTTTAATGTTCATGTCTTTAATTAACTAATGCACACTTATCTTCTGGTTTGTTGAAGCAGTAAGTCAGACCACATTTGTCACAATAATGTCTGTTAAAGTGGCTTGTCATAAATGCTCCAACACCACATTCATCAGAAGGGTACTCTCGACGAAGGCGACTAATTTTGCCATTCTCATCCACTTTATATTTCAGGACAGCCAGCTGAACCTTCTTTCTTTCGTGCTTATTCTTCTTGGGAGTGGTGTAAGACTTCTTCCTTTTCTTACCACCACCAGGAAGTCTCAACACAAGATGAAGAGTAGACTCCTTTTGAATGTTGTAGTCAGACAAAGTACATCCACCTTCCAGTTGCTTGCCAGCAAAGATCAGCCTTTGCTGATCAGGAGGAATTCCTTCCTTATCCTGGATTTCAGCTTTTACACTTTCTGTCATATCCAGGGTTTCAACCTTGAGGGTGATGGTCTTCCCTGTAAGGGTTTTCACAAAAATGTGCTTTTGCAGATGGCAGATCTTTAATTTGTGTGTGGGGGTGGGGGTCGGTGGAGGAAGACAAAGCCTTACTCTGTCGCCCAGTAGAGTGGTATGATCTCAGCTCACTGCAACCTCTGTCTCCTGGGCTCAAATGCTTCTCCTGCCTCAACCTCCTGAGTAGCTGGGATTACAGGCGTATGCCACCACACCTGGCTAATTTTTATATTTTTTGGTAGAGATGGGGTTTCACCATGTTGGCCAGGCTGGTCTCAAACTCCTGATCTCAGGTAATCTGCCTGCCTCAGCCTCCTAAAGTGTTGGGATTACAGGCGTGAGCCACTGTGCCTGGCTTTTTTTTTTTTTTTTTTTTTTTTTTTTTAAATAAAATGGTGTCTTGCTATGTTTCCTAGGCTGGTCTCAAACTCCTGGGTTCAAGTGATCCTCCTGCCTCAGCTTCCCAAGTAGCTCGGACTACAGGTGCATGCTGGTACACCTCGCTTTTCTGTTTGTTTTGACCTGTGTTTTTCAGTTAAGAGGTTTTCTTCAAATGTCGGATAATTCTTGGTTCACTTATATTTGAGGCACTAAAAACTTATTTTCAGAGCTCTGTGAATGAGGCAGTAAAAGTTTGTTTCAAAGCTGTTTTATTTCAAGAGTAGAAATAAAAATCCATTGACCTCAGGTGATCACTTAGTATTAGAGACTCTTATCTGCCAGTACCCATGAGACTTTCCTGGAATCTCTCAATTCCTCCAGAGACATATTTGTAAATCTCTTGCCTGGCCGTTGGTGATGTGGATCAGAAGAAGGAAGGAAAATTTGGTCTCGTGGTTCAGTCTTCAGACTTTTTCACCTAAAACCCTAGTCTTTCCTGTGACTGGTGTTCTCTACCTTTGAGTCTCTAGTTCAATTTCCCTAGAGAATAATTCTGTAGATTCCTGTGCAGACAGAATAGAGGTTGTGCAGGGACCTGAGGATTCTAAGACTTTCAGATCACCCATCCACTGCCTTACCCCCACTTCCCATTCTGCCTGTGTCCTCAGTTGCTGTGTATTAGAGCAGATTCATTTGTTTTATCTCTCCGCAGGTCCTTATGCTTGACCATTGTGCCTTCTGCTGAGTAATCTGTCATCCTTCATATATTGTGATTTACAGTTACAGATGATGCCTAGTTTTACTGATGATGGAGTTTCTGTTTCTCATCCTCTCTTGATGTGGGGTGATACTTGGTTTTGGGGTTTTGTTTGTTTGTTTTTGAGACTGAGTCTCACTCTGTCGCCCCATCTGGGACGGGGTGATCTTGGCTCACTGCAACCTCTGCCTCTCAAGTTTAAGTGGTTCCACTGCCTCAGCCTCCTGAATAGCTGGGATTACAGGCATGCACCACCACACCCAGCTAATTTTTGTATTTTTAGTAGAGACAGGGTTTCACCACGTTGGCAAAGCTGGTCTTGAACTCCTGACCTTAAGCAGTCCGCTCACCTCAGCCTCCAAAAATGCTGGGCTTACAGGTGTGAGCCACCACACCCGACCAATCTGGGGTGATATTTGAAAGAAAGAAGACACCAAACACCATTTTTAAAACTGAAAAACTTGTATTAAACTTAGTAGTAAAGCAGGATTTTTATATTCTCAGTGAAATGTTTTCTGAACACTTTTGTCTAAACTGTGGCATATTACCTTTCTGTGTTTTGATAAATAAACTTTTATGTTGATAAAACAATTAACTGTCATTAAGAAAAAAAAGAACCAATTCTAATGCTTTTCTCTTGATGGGACTATTGACTTTTATTATTTGTTCAGATTTCAAAGCAGATTGTTATGTACATCTCATTTAAATTTATGACCTACTACTGAGCACGATTAGGTATTATAGGAAGACTTTAGCAGTTTGAAAACTCAAATTTTTATCTCCAGTAATCTAGCATAATAAAATTTGCACAAGGTATTTTTTTTGTTGTTTCTATAGTTTTCTTTATAGAATGGCAAAGACTGAAATTGCTGTAAAATATTAAACTGTGGTCTTTCTCTTCCCCCAGCTTCTTTTAGAGCAAGATATATTTCATTATTCCTTGATGGCTTGTTGTTTGGAAATTGTGCTCTTTGCCTATAGCTCACCTCGTACTTTTCCTTGGATTATTGAAATTCTCAACTTGCAACCATTTTACTTTTATAAGGTGAGATGAAAACAAAAGTTCTGTTGCAGAAACATTGTATTTATCTTAGTGTTGAAGAAAAGCACTGTTGTGACATCTGCAAAATGTTTCCAAATGTGAGGCAAGAGAATTGCTTGAACCTGGGAGGTAGAGGTTTGCAGTGAGTGGAGACCACACCATTGCACTCCAGCCTGGGTGACGAGCAAAATTTCATCTCAAAGAAAAGAAAATAAATATTCCTTTTGGATGAAATCAAGAACACAAGAGAGGGTTGAGCATGCAGTGGCTCACACCTGTAATCCTAGCACTTTGGGAAACTGAGGCTGGAAGATGGCTTGAGTCCAGGAGTTTGAGGTTACAGTGAGTTATGATTGTGCCACCACACTCCAGCCTGGGCACCTGAGCAAGACCCTGTTTCAAATAAAAAAAGAGAGAGAGGCCAGGCGCGGTGGCTCAAGCCTGTAATCCCAGCACTTTGGGAGGCCGAGGCGGGTGGATCACAAGGTCAAGAGATCGAGACCATCCTTGCCAACATGATGAAACCCTGTCTCTACTAAAAATACAAAAAATTAGCTGGGCATGGTGGCGCGTGCGTGTAATCCCAGCTACTCAGGAGGCTGAGGCAGGAGAATTGCCTGAACCCGGGAGGCGGAGGTTGTGGTGAGCCGAGATTGTGCCATTGCACTCCAGCCTGGGTAACAAGAGCGAAACTCCATCTCAAAAAAAGAGAGAGAGAGAGTGAGAGTGTCAGTAAATTAAGTCAGTCTTATAGCTTCAGTTCCTTTTTTATTATAGACTTCAAAATGTGACCTGGAACTAGTACTTTTAACTTCAAATTTTCCATATTTATGAATGAATCTCACTTGCCTTTGTTTTTCTTGCTAGAACTATTTTTATTAACCTTTTCAAAATAAAACAGAGGTCACAGCTATTGAACTCCATCACCCTCAGTAACATGTAGTCATCACAGTCAATAACGTTTAATGTTACTTAGTATCTGAATTGAAGACTAATGCTACTGTTATGCTTCTTGGTATGATTTAGTTAATATTAGGCATCTAGGCTACTTTTCAAACTACTAATGATAGAAAAATTGGTTTCAAGAGTTAAATTTTTATACCTAAAGTATGCCTGAGTTAAAGTTGTAGAAAATGCAGATCACTGGAAAGCTTATCTGTGAATTGTTGAGTGCGATTAAAGTATTTTTAGGTTTCTTAGGGAGAAGTGATTTTATGTACTTAATTTAATGTTAATGTATATATTTAGCTTTTGCAATTAGGAAAGATTTAGTTTTGCCTAATGGCAAAAGTTATTTGTGGCATAGTAATTTGTTTTTATTTGTAACATCCTTATTTTATTCAAGAAGCCAAATGCCTTTATTTTTTTAAACCACATAAATGGTATGTGCTCATTGAAGAAAATCATAAAATAAATATAAATGTGACTATTAAAGTCCTACATCATAATCTAATTATTAACAATTATGTTACAATTGGTATTTCTGTTTATATAAACTTTATTCTAGATATTTCCCTTATTAAAATAGAACTGCACTGTACATAAGCAAAGTCACTTTAAATAGTTTATTCATTCTGTTATTTTGAGTGAGTGAGATAAATAGTCTGGAAAGGAGCAGTACATTCAAAATAGAACTAGACTTGGAACCCAGGACCTGACTTTTCCCACTATTGGGCTGTTGACCAGTTTCCACCTGTCATTGCCTCAGTTTTTCATTTATAAAATAAAACGTGAAAAACAGAAATGTATGTGAAAATATTTCAAAGACCCTAAAAGCTCCTTTGTAAATTAGAAGATGTTAGTAAGCCACAGAATTACAGTTCAACGATGACTTTGGTTCTGTGCCACAGAATTTAAGGCCACACCGCGGTCAGGTGCGGTGGTTCACGCCTGTAATCCCAGCACTTTAGGAGACAGAGGTGGGTAGATCACCTGAGGTCAAGAGTTTGAGACCTGCCTGGTTAATATGGTGAAACCCCATCTCTACTAAAAACTACAAAAATTAGCTGGGTATGGTGATGGGCTTCTGTAATCCCAACTACTTGGGAGGTTGAGGCAAGAGAATTGCTTTAACCTGGGAGGCAGAGGTTGCAGTGAGCCGAGAACACACCACTGCACTTCAACCTGGGCAACAGAGGGAAGCGCCATCTCAAAAAAAAAAAAAAAAGGCTGGGTGCAGTGGCTCACACCAGTAATCCCAGCACTTTGGGAGGCCAAGGCGGGTGGATCAAGAGGTCAGGAGTTCAAGACCAAGCTGACCAACATGATGAAACCCCGTCTCTACTAAAAATACAAAAATTAGCTGGGCGTGGTGGTGCACGCCTGCAATCCCAGCTATTCAGGTTGAGGCAGGAGAATTGCTTGAACCCAGGAGGTGGAGGTTGTAGTGAGCCAGGATTGTGCTGCTGCCCTCCAGCCTGGGCAACAGAGAGACTCCATCTCAAAAAAAAAAAGAATAAGGCCACAGGTAGTCCTACATGCAAGTCCAGACTAGAACTAACTGCTTGAAACCACATTGCCTTCTCAACTTTCTCTTCTGCAGGTTATTGAGGTGGTGATCCGCTCAGAAGAAGGGCTCTCAAGGGACATGGTGAAACACCTTAACAGCATTGAAGAACAGATTTTGGAGAGTTTAGCATGGAGTCACAATTCTGCACTGTGGGAGGCTCTCCAGGTTTCTACAAACAAAGTTCCTACCTGTGAAGAAGTGAGTCTGGGCGAGGCTGATAATCCTGTCATTAAAAAATAACAGCTTTATTCAGAGATAAATCATATACCATACAGTTCACCCATTTTAAGTATACAGTTCAGTGGCTTTAGTATATAAATAGATAGGTGCAGCCATAACCACAATTTTAGAATATATTCATCACTTCAATAAGAAACCTACATCCTTGGGCTATCACTTCCCTACCCCTATGTCTTCTCTCTAGCTCCAAGTAACCACTGATCTGCCTTCTGTTTCCATAAATCTGCCTGTTCTAGACATTTCATATAAATGGAATCATAAAAATGTAGTCCTTTGTGACTGGGCTTCTGTCACTCATTATAATGTTTTTAAGGTTCATCTATGTTGTAGAATGTATGAGAATTTCATTTCCTTTTTTTTTTTTTTTAAGGCAGGGTTTCGTTCTGTTGCTGAGGCTGGTGTGCAGTGGCACAAACGTGGCTCACTGACTGCACCCTCAACTTCCTGGGCCCAAGTGGTCCTTCTGCCTTACTCTCCCAAGTAGCTAAGACCGCAGGCACCTACCACCAACACCTACACCCAGCTAATTTTGTTGTTGTTGTTTGTTTTTCTGTGTGTAGATACAGGGTCTTGCCATGTTGCACAGGGTGATCTCAAACCCCTGAGCTCAAGTAATCCTCTTGTCTTGGCCTCCCAAAGTGCTGGAACTGTGAGTGTGAGTCACCACATCTGGCTTATTTCCTTTTTTTGCCAAGTAATATTCCATTGTGTGGATGCTACATTTTATTTATTGATTCATCAGTTGATAAACATTTGAGTTGTTTCCACCTTTTGACTTTTTTTTTTTTTTTTTTGAGACAGGGTCTCACTCTGTCACCCAGGCAGGAGTGCAGTGGCGCCATCATGGCTCACTGCAGCCTTGACCTATGAGGCACAAGTGATCTTCTCCTCTCAGCTTCCTACACCATCACACCTGGCTAATTTTTGTGGCTTTGTAGAAATGGGATCTCCCTATGTTGTCCAGGCTAGTTTTGAATTCCTGGGCCCAAGCGATCCTCCCACCTCAGTTTCCCAAAGTGCTGGATTACAGGCATGAGCCACTGTACCTAACCCACTTTGGCTATTGTGAATGATGCTGCTGTGAACATTCAGGCACAAGTTTTTGGGTAAACATATGTTTTCATTTTTCTTGGAGTAGAGTTGCAGGTTCATATGGTGACTCTGTTTAAGCTTTTTGGAAACTGTCAGACTGTTTTTTAAAGATGCTGCACCATTTTATTGTTCCCAGCGACAGGGTAGAAAGATTCCAATTTCTTCATATCCTTGTTATTATCTGCCTTTTTAATTTTTTTTAATAACAAGCTAATGCTTGTTATTATCTGCCTTTTTAATTCTAGCCATTCTAGTAGGTGTAAAGTAATGTCTCATTGTGGTTTTGGTTTGCATTTCCCTGGTGGCTAATGATGATCAACATCTTATGTGCTTATAAGCTGTTTGCGTGTCTTTGGAGAAATGTTCATTCAGATCTTTTGCCCATTTTTTTAATTGTCTTTTTATTATCGAGTTATAGAAGTTTTTCATATATTCTAGATACAAATCCCTTGTCAGATAAATGATTTGCAAAACTTTTCTCCCATTTTCTAGGCTGTCTTTTCACTTTCTTGGTGGTGTCTTTGGAATGCAAAAATTTTTAATTTTGATGATGTCCAATTTAGATATTTTTTCTTTTGCTTGTTGTGCTTTTTGCGTCATGTCTAAGAAACTATTAAATTTATTTAAAATTTTTCTAATTTCTCTGTAAAGATTGAACACTTTTCATTCATGGTATTTAGAATTCAATGAAAAATAGAGGCCAGGCTCGGTGGCTCACGCCTATAATCCCAGCACTTTAAGAGGCCAAGACTGGTAGATTGCCTGAGATCAGGAGTACAAGATCAGGCTGGCCAACATAGTGAAACCCCTTCTGTATTAAAAATACAAAAAATTAGCTGGGTTTGATGGCACACGCCTATAATCCCAGCTACTTGAGAGGCTGAGACAGGAGAATTGCTTCAACCTGGGAGGCAGAGATTGCAGTGAGCTGAGATTGCACCACTGCACTCCAGCCTGGGCAACAGAACGAGACTCTGTCTTAAAAATAAATAAATAAAGTAATTAATTAATTAAAAATAAAAAATGTGTGCCCAACGTTGTACACAGAAATTACATTTTTAATAGTAGTATCATGTGAGAAATTGAGGTGGTTTTTTTTTTCCCTACTTCTGTTACTCTTTTGTAACTCCTATCTTTTGATTCTCTTTTGTTTTGTCTCCTTATGTACTTCCTTAATCTTCCTGAATTTTTCCCTAATCCCAAACTACTAGAACTGTCCAAGGCCAGGAAGAATTGAAAAGAAGATGGTTTCTTGAAATCTCTCTTCCATGCTTCTTTGGTCTTTTGCAGAAGACTATAATTTATTGGGCTCTCTTCAGTATTCATCAGTTTATTTCCCTTGAAGAACTTCAAACTCCTTCAAGTTTAAAAAAAACTTTATTTTAAGAAGCATCAGTATTGAAGCCTTTGCTCTTACAACTTAGTAGTTGTGTGACTTTTGGCAAATTTCACATTCAGATCCTCAATTTTCACATCCCTAAATGGAGAGTGATATTGCCTACCTCATAGGTTTAGTTCTAGTGGTCGATAACTTACCTATATGAATTATAAGGTTTAAAGAAATGAACTCTTTTTTTAAGTTTGTTAACATTATCACTTGAGCACTTTATCCAAGTTGTATTTTGTGAAGACATGAGAAAGGGAAATAAAATATTTTTTTAAAAGTTAAGAAAACATTTTTTTGACCAGGCACAGTAGCTCATACCTCTAATCCCAGCACTTTGGGAGGCTGAGTTGGGTAGATCACCTGAGGTCAGGAGTTCAATACCAGCCTAGCCAATGTGGCGAAACTCTATCTCTACTAAAAATATAAAAATCAGCTGGGCGTGATGGCACATGCCTGTAATCCCAGCTACTTGGAACGCTGAGGCAAGAGAATCACTTGAACCTAGTGGGTAGAGGTTGCAATGAGCCAGGATCATGCCACTGTACTCCAGCCTGGGTGACAGACTGAGACTACATCTCAAAAAAAAAAAAAAAAGAAAAATTTTTTTTTTTTTTTTTTTGAGACGGAGTTTCGCTCTTTGTTACCCAGGCTGGAGTGCAATGGCGTGATCTCGGCTCACCGCAACCTCCGCCTCCTGGGTTCAGGCAATTCTCCTGCCTCAGCCTCCTGAGTAGCTGGGATTACAGGCACGTGCCACCATGCCCAGCTAATTTTTTTTTTGTATTTTTACTAGAGATGGGGTTTCACCATGTTGACCAGGATGGTCTTGATCTCTTGACCTCGTTATCCACCCGCCTCGGCCTCCCAAAGTGCTGGGATTACAGGCTTGAGCCACCGCGCCCAGCCTTGAAAAATTTTTTTCCTAAGTTTTAATCAGTGAGTTTATCTGTATGTAAAGCAGAGGGTTTTTGTTTTCCACAGGTTATATTCCCAAATAACTTTGAAACAGGAAATGGAGGAAATGTACAGGGACATCTTCCCATGATGCCAGTGTCTCCTCTAGTGCATCCAAGAGTCAAGGAAGTTCGAACTGACAGTGGGAGTCTTCGAAGAGGTAGGTTCAACATTGGGAGAGTAACAAAAAAGTAACAAAGGTCTTTTTTTTTTTGAGAGAGAAAATTTTAAATCTTGTGAGTATGTTATTCAGAAATCAGATTTCTTTATCAGGATTTGAAAAGGAGCTTGATGCTTGTGCTAGCACCCCTGTGTAGCTCATTATATACTATATTATACACTATTATATATATATTATGTACTATAGTGTATACTATATTAATAGAATTTTAAATGTAGTTTATTTAATAAATGTATGTAATCTTTCCTGAATGCTAATGGGAAACTGTTTAAATAAGCTAAAATCAGGCATGATGGCATCTTTCTGTAGTCCTAGCTACTCAGGAGGCTGAGGCAGGAGGATTGAGGATTGTGTGTTGGAGTCCAGCCTGGGCAGAATAGTGAGACCCCGCCCCCCATTCCCCCCAACCCCCGCCCAGAAAAAAAGAAAAATAAGAAAGAAAAAAAAGATAAGTATATTAATCTGTTCTGGCACTGCTAATAAAGGCATACCTGAAGCTGGGTAATTTATGAAGGAAAGAGGTTTAATTTACTCACAGTTCCAAATGGCTGGGGAGGCCTCATAATTATGGTGGAAGGCAAAGGAAGAGCAAAGGCAAGTCTTACATGACAGCAGGCAAGAGAGCTTGTGCAGTAGAACTCCCCTTTACAAAACCACGAGATCTCATGAGACTTATTCATTATCTGGAGAACAGCATGGGAAAGACCTGCCCCCATGATTCAGTTACCGCCCACGACACATGGGAATTATGGGAACTACAATTTAAGATGAGATTTGGGTGGGGACACAGCCAAAGTATATCACTAAACTAAATACCTACTTTTCCAAATTTCCCAAATTTATTTTCTTCCTTTGCCTATTTCTCCCAGTAGAAAAACATTTAAAGCAAAACAGAATTCTTATTCTCTTTGGAATGCTTAAGTTCATCTAATAAACTACTTATTTATACTCTTAAAATAGTTCATTTTGAGACTTACCAATGGAAAGATTTTAATTCATTCTTCCTTATTTTCTCTTGTGACATAGCAAGCTGATGTGTGCATCTTGTGGGTTATACAGCTCTTGGATTTTGAAAAATCAGTTAAAATCTCCTGACCACATAGTATCCTTTAACAAATCTTAGATGAACAAGTATTCAGGTTACATAGTACGGTACACCCATTTTTGGAGTCTGTGTCATTGTGTATGTATGTTTGTCTATCTGTCTGCAATCTTTGCTTTACATGCAATGCAGGATCATAAAAGCGATTACAGGCCAGACATGGTGGCTTATGCCTGTAATTCGAGCACTTTGGAAGGCCAAGGCGGGGGGATCACCTGAGGTCGGGAGTTCAAGACCAGACTGTCCAACATGGTGAAACTCCATCTCTACTAAAAATACAAAAATTAGCTGGGCATGATGGTGGGCACCTGTAATCCCAGCTACTTGGAAGGCTAAGGCAGGAGAATTGCTTGAACCTGAGAGGTGGAGGTTACAGTGAGTCAAAATTGCACCACTGCACTCCAGCAACAGAGCAAGACTACATCTCAAAAAAAAAAAAAAAAAAAAAAAGGCCGGGTTCGGTGGCTCACTCCTGTATGCCTATAATCCTAGCACCTTGGGAGGCCGAGGTGGGTGGATTGCCTGAGCTCCGAAGTTCAAGATCAGCCTGGGCAACACAGTGAAACCCCATCTTTACTAAAAGTACAAAAAATTAGCTGGGCATGGTGGTGCATGCCTGTAGTCCCAGCTACTTGGGAGGCTAAGGCAGGATAGTTGCTTGAACCCTGAACCCAGGAGGCAGAGGTTGCGAGAGCTGAGATCGCACCACTGCACTCCAGCCTGGGCAACAGAGTGAGACTCTATCTCAAAAAAAAAAAAAAAAAAAAGATTGCACAAGATGTGAATACTAAGTAATTTTAATCAGTGGGAATAATTACAATTGTTTTTTTGTTATACCCAAGCAAGTTAGAAGGAAAGTGCTATTCTCTGTGTTTCCATTGAGTGTCCTTTATTGCCGGCGGCCAAGAGTCATTTCACACTCAAAAACCTCTTGACCCCGATGAAGGGGAGGTAAAGTCTTTAACCCATTTTTAGGGAGGGGAGGAGGAGCCTAGCTGAAGTGGAATTTTGCAGAAGCAAAACAAGCAAGTTAGAAGGGGGAGCTGGTTACCAGGAGGTAAATGGTTCTCATGATTGTTGGTTACTAAGGGGGAATTGCCAAGCAGGATGTGGTTACAACGGTTACAAGGTCCTGGGTATAGCGTGACCCAGCTATGCACCCGAAGGGGGACTGGCAGGGAAGGTGAGGCTAAGATGGAGTTGGTCAGGCTCACATTTAAGATGGAGTCTGTTAGGCTCACTTCATTTTGACCTTTACCAATCTTGACAAAAGGTTAAAAAAAAAAAAAAGAAAAACTCTTTTTACTGTCAGTTGTTAATGTTTACAGAAATGGAAAAAATAGTAAAAATATTTGGTATACTGTAATTTAAAACTTTGGAAGTATTGAGAATTCTTTTCTTTTTTTTTTTTCTTTTTTTCTTTTTTTTTTTTTTTGAGACAGAGTCTAACACTGTTGCCTAGGCTGTAGTGCAGTGACACAATCTTAGCTCACTGCAATCTCTGCCTCCTGAGTTCAAGCAATTCTCCCACCTCAGCCTCCCAAGCAGCTGGGACTACAGGCATGCATCACCACGCCCAGCTTATTTTTTTGTATTTTTAGTAGAGATGGAGTTTTACCATGTTGGCCAGGATGGTCTTGATCTCCTAACCTTGTGATGTGTCTACCTCGGCATCCCAAAGTGCTGGGATTACAGGCTTGAGCCACCATGCCTGGCCTGTTTTCTTTTTTTTTTTTTTTTTTTTTTTTTGAGATGGAGTTTCGCTCTTGTTACCCAGGCTGGAGTGCAATGGCGCGATCTCGGCTCACCGCAACCTCCGCCTCCTGGGTTCAGGCAATTCTCCTGCCTCAGCCTCCTGAGTAGCTGGGATTACAGGCACACGCCACCATGCCCAGCTAATTTTTTGTATTTTTAGTAGAGACAGGGTTTCACCGTGTTGACCAGGATGGTCTCGATCTCCTGACCTCGTGATTCACCTGCCTCAGCCTCCCATAGTGCTGGGATTACAGGCTTGAGCCACCACGCCCGGCCCTGTTTTCTTTTTTAAAAACTTACCAAGAATAGTTTAAACTGTGCTTGCCACCTTCCTCTCATGTAATTTATAACCAAGTGAACATTTTTTCTGTACCTTGGCAAATTGTCATGTTTCTTTCTAAATTTGGATTAGCTTTTCATTTATATATTCATTACATTCTTATTGAATATCCACCATAGCTTTTCCAGTACTGTGCTAAGAAGAGATCATTTCAAGGGATTTGCAGCTACTTTATGGCTTCAACTCAAGTCTTCCATTGAATTGTCACTGCCTAGTTAGATTCAGGGGCTCGTGTGGATTTCTTAGTTATAGGGCATTAAGATGGACTCTTGTAACGGAGTATGGAAACTACTATAGAAATTTCCACTTGTTTACTGAAGACAGTGGAAGCTACTTTCATAAGCCCAAGAATTATGGGAAGATTTTTATTAAACCGTAACTATTTCCCCAGTTATCTCACTAATACAGAGAGCTTCTAAATCATTGCTAGGGGTCATTTTAATACCTTTTAAGCATGTTTTGAAAATAGATTACATGACTGTCTAATTATCTAGTGAATGTAAAAATAAATAATGAAGGCCAAGCACAGTGGTTCACACTTGTAATCCCAGCCAAGGCAGGCCGACGTCAGCAGTTCAAGACCAACATGGCCAACATGGCAAAACCCCGTCTCTACTAAAAATAGAAAAATTAACAGCCATAGTGGCGTGCATCTGTAGTCCCAGCTATTTGGGAGTCTGAGGCAGGATAATCTCTGGAAACCAGGAGGCAGAGGTCACAGTAAGCCAAGATTGTGCCACTGCACTCCAGCCTGGACAACAGAGCGAGACTCCATCTCATAAATAAATACTTTTGCTTTAAAAGCATATTATTGACCTACCTGTAAGGTTGAGGGAAGAATTGTGGGAAAAGATGTAGCAAAGATGTAGGGTTGTAAGGGGCTAGAAAAACCCGTGCAGCTGATAGAGGAGGAATGGAAAGCAGATCCTGTGAAAGGATAGTACAGGAAGAGAGGCAAAATCCATAATCTTTACTTTATTTTTGATCACACTACTGCCAATCCTCAGATTAAGGCAAGATAAGCAGATTTATATCATCTTTACTCATATCTTCTGACGAATTTATTAAAGATGATTCCATATCTATTAAATCAGAAAGCCACAACTACTGCCTTAAGCTGCTTGGAGTGCAAATATGCATGAAGGGGTAAAACTGCAACTCAAATTACTGATTTTTGCTTTTCTTCCCTTCTTCTCAGGTGCTCTTTACTAGGTAAGATTGGGAGATATTGGACTACTACTAAAATTTAGTGCTTAAATCATTCTACCTCTCAACCGCTACTTTATCCTTAATGTTTTGCTCTTTTAATATAGGCAGAGGTTCAAGAAACCAGGAAGATGAGTGATCATAATTTTCACATTTTATATGTAATGAGTTATTTTATGCCTCTTTCTCCCAGAAGACTTCATACTCCATGAGGGCAAAGGCTATGTTATTCATGTCTAGCTAATGCCCAGCATAGTAACTCATTATGAATGAGTAAACCTAATGTATTGAGTGAATGAGTAAATCTAATTTATTATTTTAGAATACATTTCTGTTTTTAATTAATTAATTTATTTATTTTTAGATATGCAACCATTGTCTCCAATTCCTGTCCATGAACGCTACAGTTCTCCTACTGCAGGGAGTGCTAAGAGAAGACTCTTTGGCGAAGACCCCCCAAAGGAAATGCTTATGGACAAGATCATAACAGAAGGAACAAAATTGAAAATCGCTCCTTCTTCAAGTATTGCCGCTGAAAATATATCAGTTTTACCTGGTCAAACTCTTCTAACAATGGCCACAGCCCCAGTGACAGGAACAGCAGGACATAAAGTTACAGTTCCATTACATGGTAGCGTTTTAATGCATTTGTTTTCTATTTTTTCTGAGTTGGATAAAAATTTAAGTAATGTCTTACTGGATTAGATCACGTGGTTTTTCCTAACTCATTTTTTTCTTGAACCTATACTTTTTTCTTTTTTTAATAGATTTGATTTTTTTTAGAGCAGTTGTATATTCACAGCAAAATTCAGAAGAAGGTACAGATATTTCTCATATTCCCATCTTCCCACACCAGAGTGCTACATTTGTTACAGTTGATGAACCCACATTGACACATTACCCAAAGCCCATAGTTTACATTAGAGTTCATTCTTGGTGTTGAATAGTTTGATTTTGAGAATGTATAATGACACATATCTGTCACTGTAGCTCCATACAGGGTAGTTTCACTGCCCTGTAAATCCTCTGTACTACACCTTTTCTTTTGTTTTAAACCTATAGTGCTTTTTAAATTTTCAAATTACGTAAATTTACTATTTGTTTGTTTAGACTTATTTTACTTTTTCTTTTTTTTTTTTTTTTTCTGGGACAGGGTCTTACTCTGTCACCCAGGTTGGAGTGCAGCAGCATGATCTCAGCTCTCTGCATCCTTTGCTCCCAGGCTCAAGTGATCCTCCCACCTCAGCCTCCTGAGTAGCTGAGATCACAGGCAAGTGCCACCACTCCCAGCTAATTTTTTGTATTTGTGGTAGAGATGGGGTTTCACCATGTTGCCCAGGTTTCAAACTCCTGAACTACTTATTTTTTATTTTCTTATCTGACCTTTTCAGTGTGTATGTTTGAGCAAAAATTCTGTTCTTTGACCAACATCTAAAGTGCTTTAAAAAAGTTTAATGCTTTTTTTTTCAATAAATTTAAACTATAAATGCATCACAGCCACATACAAAATAAAGAAAAAAAAATGCTTCTTTTCAGTAAATTTAAAGTACGAAAACAAAACAGAATATTCTTGTTTCAGGGAAAAAACAGAAAATAAGGATTTGTGCGGGGCGTGGTAGCTTACACCTGTAATCCCAGCACTTTTAGAGACTGAGGCAAGAGGATCACTTTAGCCCAGGAGTTTGAGAACCAGACTGGGCAACATTAGTAATATCCTATCTCTACAAAAAATTAAATTAGCTGGGCATGGTGATGTATGTCTGTGGTCCCAGCTACTCAGGAGGCTGAAGCAGGAGAATCATAAGCCCAGAATTTGAGGCTGCAGTGAGCCATGATCACGCCACTGCACTCCAGTTAGGACAACAGAGCAAGACCTTGTCTCAAAAATATATATATATATACATGGGGGTGGGGGGCGGAAGCCCAGCATAGTGGCTCAAACCTGTAATCCCAGCACTTTGGGAAGCTGGGCAGATCACATGAGGTCAGAAGTTTGAAACCAGCCTGGCCAACGTGGTGAAACCCTGTCTCTACTAAAAATACAAAAAAATTTAGCTGGGTGTGGTGGCACATGCCTGTAGTCCCAGCTACTTGGGAGGCTAAGGCAGCAGAATCACTTGAACCTGAGAGTCAGAGGTTAAAGTGAGCCAAGATCATACCACTGCACTCCTACCTGGGTGACAGAGCAAGGCTCTGTCTAAAAAAAAAAAAAAAAAAAAATGCTGGGTACAGTGGCTCATGCCTGTAATCCTAGCACTTTGAGAGATTGAGGCAGGCAGATCGCTTGAGCTCAGGAGTTCGAGACCAACCTGGGGAACATGGCAAAACTCTCTTAAAAAATATATATACAAAAAAATAGCCAGGCATGATGGCTTGCACCTGTAGTCCCAGCTATTTGAGGGGCTTGAAGTGGGAGGATCACTTAAGCCCAGGAGGTCAAGGCTGCAATGAGCTGAGATGGCGCCACTGCACTTCACCCTGGGTGACCAAGTGAGACCCTGTCTCAAAAAAAGAAAAAAGAATTCAGTCATAACCTAGAATTACTGTTTTGTAGCCTTTTAATACACACAAATGTATGTATGTGTAATTGACAAACTATATGTAGTTGACAATTTTTCAAGAATATATGCAGATTATTTCTAATAATGCTTATACATTCAGGTGTTGCAAATGATGCTGGAGAGATCATGCTGATACCTATTTCCATGAATACAAATCAAGATTCCAAAGTCAAGAGTCCTGTATCACTTACTGCTCATTCATTAATTGGTGCTTCTCCAAAACAGACCAATCTGACTAAAGCACAAGAGGTACATCCAACTGGAATAAGCAAACCAAAGAGAACTGGGTCCTTAGCACTATTTTACAGAAAGGTATGTGTTTCTATAGCATTTAAAAAGAGTTCATTTAATCAGTGGAAGAAAGATTGAGTAACAGAGATAGACTTTGGTCTCTTTTTTTTAATATACATAACAAATTTTATCATTTTAACCATTTTTAAGTATATAGTTCAACTGTATTAAATACATTCACATTATTGTGCAGCTATTCAATATTACTACCATCCATCTCCAGAACATTTTTGTCTTCCCATTCTGAAACTCTGTACCCATTTCTCCCTTCCCCCAGCTTCTGGCAACTACTATTCTACTTTCTGTTTCTGTGAATTTGACTACTCTAGGTTCCTCACATGAGTGAAATCATATATTTGTTCTTTTTGTGACTGGCTTAGCATAATGTCATGTAGGTTCATCCATATTATAGCTTGTGCCAGAATTTCCTTTCTTTTCAATGCTGAATAATATTCCATTGTATAAAGAAGAGAAAAAAGAGAACAAAAGAAAAAAAATTCCATTGTATGAATATGCTTTTTTTTTTTTTAATACCACATTTTGTTTATTCAATCATCTGTTGATGGGCATTTGGGTTGTCTCTACTTTTTGACTATTGTGAATAATGCTGCTGTGAACATTTGTGTACAGATATCTGTTCAGACCAGGTGCAGTAGCTCACGCCTATAATCCCAGCACTTTGTGAGGCTGAGGCAGGAAGATTACTTGAACCCAGGAGTTTGAGACCACCCTGGGCAACACAGTGAGACTTTATCTCTACAAAAAATTTAAAATATTAAAAAAAAAATAGCCAGGTATAGTGGCATATGCCTATAGTCCTGGCTACTTTGGAAGCTGAAGTAGGAGGATCACTTGAGCCCAGGAGGTTGAGGCTACAATAAGTTGAGATCATGCCACTGCACTCCAGCCTGGGCAACAGAACAAGGCCCTGCCTTAAGAAGAAAAAAAAAAATAGCAACAAATATCTATTCAAGTCTCTGCTTTCAATTCCTTTGGGTGTATTCCCAGAAATAGAAGAGTAATTCAGTATTTAATTTTCTGAGGAACCATGATACCATTTTCCACAGTGGCTAGACCATTTTACATTCCTACTAGCAAGGCACAAGTGTTCCAAGTTCTTCACATCCTTGCCAACCTTTGGCGTTTTCTGGTTTATTTGTTTTTTTGATAATGGCCATCCAGTGAGTGTAAAGAGACATCTTATTATAGTTTCAATTTTCAGTTCCCTAATGATTAGTGATGTTGAGTATCTTTTCATGTGCTTTTGCCCATCTATATATCTTCATTGTAGAAATGTCTGTTCAAGCCTTTTGCTCATTTTTTAATTATGTTTTTTGGGTTTTGTTGTTGAATTGTAGGAGTTCTTTATGTATTCTAGACATTAATCCCCTATAAAATACACTATTTACAAATATTTTCTCCCATCATATGGGTTGTCTTCTCATTCTGTTGATAGTGTTCTTGACACATGAAAGTTTTTAATTTTAATAAAGTCAATTTATCTATTCTTTTTATTTATTGTCTTTGTTTTTGGTGTCACATATAAGAAATCATTGCCAAATCCAGTATTATGAAACATTTCCCCTATGTTTTCATCTAAGAATTGTATAGTTTTTAGCTCTTACATTTATTGTGTCTATTTTTATTTATTTATTTATTTTCTGAGATGGAGTCTCACTCTGTCACCTAGGCTGGAATGCAATGCCACGATCTTGGCTCACTGCAACCCCTGCCTCAGCCTCCTGAGTAGCTGGATTTACAGGCACCTGCCACCGTGCACAGCTAATTTTTGTAGTTTTAGTAGAGACGAGCTTTCAGCATCTTGGCCAGTTAGGCTGTTCTTGAACTCCTGACCTAGTGATCCAACCACCTCGGCCTCCCAAAGTGCTGGGATTACAGGTGCGAACCACTGTGCCCAGCCTATTATAGCTAATTTTTTTTTTTGAGACAGTGTCTCACTTTGTCACCCAGGCTAGAATGCAGTGGCACAATCACAGCTCACTGCAGCCTCCACCTCCCATGTTCAAATGATCCTCCCACCTCAATCTCCCAGGTAGCTAGGACTACAGGAACATGCCACCATGCCTGGCTAGTTTTTTGTTTTGTTTTGTTTTTTGGGGGTTTTTTTTTTTGAGATGGAGTCTCACTCTGTCGCCCAGACTGGAGTGCAGTGGTGTGATCTCAGCTCACTACAACCCCCACCTCCCCGGTTCAAGCAGTTCTCCTGTCCCAGCCTCCCAAGTAGCTGAGACTACAGGCTTATGCCACCATGTCTGGCTAATTTTTGTATTTTTGGTAGAGATGGGGTTTCACCATACTGGTCAGGCTGGTTTCAAACTACTGACCTCAGGTGATACACCTACCTTGGCCTCCCAAAGTGCTGGGATTACACTTTTCAACAAGGATTTTGTGGTCTGTATTCAGTGTGGTCTGTATTCAGTACCACACTGTTTTGATAACCATAGCTTTGTGTCACAAGTTTTAAAATCAGGAGGTGTGAGACCTCCAACTTTGTTTTTCTTTATTAAGTTTTGACTATTCAGGATTTCTTGACAGTCCATATGAATTTTAGGATGGGTTTTTCTCTTTCTGCAAACACATTGTTGGAATTTTGATAGAGATTGCATTGAATATAGAGATTGCATTGGCTAGTGTTGACATCTTAAGAATATTAAGTCTTCCAGTCCATGACCATAAGATGTCTTTTCATTCATTTGTGTCTTGATTTCTTTTAGCAACATTTTGTAGTTTTCAGTATATGTCTTTTGCAAGACAAGTCCTTGCTTAAGATTATTCCTAAGTATTGTATTGTTTTTGATGCTATTGTAAGTGGAATTGTTTTCTTAATTTCATTTTTTAGATTGTTCATTAATATAATGGAACACAAGTGGTGGTGGTGGTGTATTGATTTTTTTATTTTGCAGCTTTGCTGATTTATTTATTAGTTCTATTAGTTTTTACAGATTCTTTAGGTTTTTTTGGGTTTTCCATATATAAGATCATGTCATCTGTGAACAAAGATAATTTTACTTCTTTCTTTCCAATTTGGATTTCTTTTTCCTGCTTAATTGCTCTGGCTAGGATTTCCAGTTCTATATTGAATAAAATTGGCAAAAGCAAACATCCTTGTCTTACTCCTGATCTTAGAGCAACAGCTTTTAGGTTTTCAGTTTTTGAATATGATGTTAGCTGTGGGTTTGTTTTTTTTTTTGAGACGGAGTTTCACTCTTGTTACCCAGGCTGGAGTGCAATGGCGCTGTCTCGGCTCACTGCAACCTCTGCCTCCCAGGTTCAGGCAATTCTCCTGCCTCAGCCTCCTGAGTAGTTGGGATTACAGGCACGCGCCACCATGCCCAGCTAATTTTTAGTATTTTTAGTAGAGACGGGGTTTCACCATGTTGACCAGGATGGTCTCGATCTCTTGACCTTGTGATCCACCCGCCTCGGCCTCCCAAAGTGCTGGGATTACAGGCTTGAGCCACCACGCCCAGCCAGCTGTGGGTTTTTTATATACGGTTGACCCTCGAACAATATGTTTTTGCACTGTACAAATCCACTTATGTACAGATGTTATTAAGCCAACATAGCATGAAAATACAATATTTGAGGAATGTGAAACCTCTGTATACAGAGGGCCAAGTTTGTTTTTTTTTTTTGTTTTTTTTTTTTGCGGGGAGATGGACTCTTGCTCTGCTATTTAGGCTGGAGTGCAGTGGCACTAACTTGGCTGACTGCAACCTCCCCCTCCCAGGTTCAAGCAAGTCTTCTGCCTCGGGCTCCCAAGTAGCTGGAATTACAGAGCAGACCACCATGCCCAGCTAATTTTTATGTTTTAGTAGAGACAGAGTTTCACCAGATTAATCAGGCTGGTGTTGAACTCCTGACCTTAGGTGATCCTCCCTCCTTGTCCTCCCAAAGTGCTGGGATTGCAGGGGTGAGCCACTGCACCTGGCCAAGGGCCAACTTTTTGTACATGGGGGTTCCACAGGGCCAAATGCGGAACTTGAGTATGCACAGATTCAGGTATATGCAGGGGCTCCTGGAACAAATCTGTGTATACCAAAGGATGACTGTATATCCTTTATTATGTTTAGGTAGTTTCTTTCTCTTCCTAGCTTGTTAAGTAGTTTTATTATAAAAGGGTGTTAAATTTTGTCAAATGCTTTCTCTGTATTGAAATGATTATATAGCTTTTTTCCCTTTGTTCTGTTAATATGGTGTGTTATACAGATTGATTTCCTTATGTTAAATTATCATTACCTTCTAAGAATAAATTCTACTTGGTCATGGTGTATATCCTCTTCATATGCTGTTGAATTTGTTTTGCTAGTATTTAGTTGAGGAGTTTTGCACCAGTATTCATAAAATATAGCGGTCTGTATTTTTTTCTTATGCTTTCTTTGTCTGGCTTTGCTATCAAGTAATGTACCCTTAGCCATTTAAAAAATATATTTGGGCTGGGGGTAGTGGCTTATGCCTGTAATCCCAGCACTTTGGGAGGCCAAGGTGGGCAGATCCTGAAGTCAAGAGATCAAGTCCATCCTGGCCAACATGGTGAAACCCCCATCTCTACTAAAAATACAAAAAATTAGCTGAGCATGGTGACACCTGCCTATAGTCCCAGCTACTGGGGAGGCTGAGGCAGAAGAATCACTTGAACCTGAGAGGCAGAGGTTGCAGTGAACCAAGATCCACCACTGCCCTCCAGCCTGGCGACAGCAAGACTCCATCTCAAAAAAAAAAAAAAAATACATTTGACCCCTCAAGAGAACATCATGATCTTGGTAAGCTATGTTTAGACTCAGGCTCACAGGATTTGATTTCGTTTTCAGATCTAACTTAGTTTTTTGCCAGCTTGTATTCTTCTATAACTTTAAGTAGTTGGCCAGCTTCTGGAATTTACTGAAACTCCATTGTGTTATGTTATTATAGAACAGAGTTCACTGTGGGACAAATACATCCTGGATCCCATGGATGAATGAGCAAAGATTCATTCTAAAGATTAGTGGGATACTATGGGA